GAGAAATATTCGTAGTTCGCTGTTACTAGCGGCACTGAAACTGATTCGCCGGTCACCCACCAGAAGAACGTGCACAACTCCCGCCCACATCAACAGAGCACCGGCCGACCACGCAATCCAAACACGACCGCAGCGTCATAAATTGTAGACCCGGTATTACGTGAAGACAAGGAAACCTAATTGTACATTATGACTTCTTTGTGAACATAAATTCATCAACAGAGTAAAAGGAGTGTGTAATTAATTCTACTTTACAGTGTGCCTTTTTATTTGTAAAACTTGTGAGAGTTACTGATGGACTTTGAAAATTTTTATGCCTGCATATTACGTACTCTCCTGAAAGCATGAGAGGCTGGCATTTGGTCTTTGAAGCTGATTCTTATTCCTTGTGTTGACACTGTATAGCAGAATTTGTTTGAATATCTTTTTAGTTATTTACAAAGAAGTGTTTAAATGAGAATATGTATTCTCATGGGAAAGCTAAGGTCTCTGATCTCTTGAATGGATTTCTATATGAATTTCTAGATTTGACACCAGCCATTAATCTAACAGTTTTCTTTTGTGAAGTGAATGTATTTTTACTGTTATATGATTTACCCCAACAAATTATTACATACTCTTTTATGGAGTAAAAATAAGCAAAATACACTGATTTGAGTGTGTCAATTCTGCTGACATCTAACTGCATAATATGTTCCACTTAACTTTAGTATCAGTTTTTCAATATGATTTGTCCAGTTTAGACAGTTATCAGTTTTAAAAACCATGAATTTCGTATTTACCGACTCCCCTATCTACTCTCCATTATAACCAATACTTAAGGCTTGTTGTGGTGAGTTATTTCTTATCAATTTTGTTATAGTGGTTTTATTTAGATTTAGGTCCAGCTTGTTGGCAATAAATCATTTACTCATATGAGAGAGAACTATGTTTGATATTGCACAGAAGTCGTCAAAATTTTTCGTACAAATTAGCACACTTGTGTCATCATCAAATATGGGTTCTAATAAGGTGTTTTTTGTTGGAGGAAGGTCATTTGTGTATATTGTGAAAAGCAAGGCCCCTAGAATTGATCCTTTTGTAGAACTCCATTTTTATTGTTCTCCAGTTTGAGAATAAATTACGATTTTTTTTAAGTGGTTTTAGTTTGACCTTTTGTTTTCTGTGGGTTAGGTAGGATCTGAACCATTTTGCAACTATTCTATGAATGCCATAACAATTTAATTTAGTAAACAAAATTTTGTGATTTATAGTCTGACATTTTTGCTAAATCACAGAAAGTTCCTCCAGCGTGCATGTTAATAGATTTTACCAGTGCTCTGTCGGCTGCTGGCATGTCCCAGTAACCTGACTGATCGTCTGACATGTTTCAGGTATTGGATCATTATGATGGTCACATTGACCTGTCTCCCTTGAGGAAGGAGAGTCACAACTGGGTCATACAGCCCTCGTCAGGGGTACAGTACCATATCAATGTATGTGGTCCCCTGAATCCCATGCTCATCAATATGTGTGCAGGTATGAAGTGCCAGCATTTGCAATCCCATGTCAACTTTAGTTATATTAGAATGGGGCTGTTTAATAACATGGTTGATCTTGTATGAGAGACCCAAACAGTTTCGTGAATGAAATGAAAGTGTAATAGACTATTCACATAGTAATAAGCCACAGCATCCGCTAAAAGTGGAGTGCGTTTGATAATCAGAAATTTTTTTAGTGGCAGGATGATCTGTCTACCACAGTTGATTAGAAGTGTTGCATTATAGTTTTGACATAGTGAAAACAAAGCAAATATTTCAGTAACAGTAAGGGGGGGTTTCTTCCACAGTTTTGAAGTGTAACAACTTGAACATTTGTAATTTTATGTGTATGATTCTTTTATTACATGGTATCTCACTCAGAGGGAGGAACACAGATTGCAGGTATTTGAGAATAGGGCGTTGAGGAGGATATTTGGGCCTTGGAGAGAAGACGATGGGGTCTGGAGAAAACTGCATTTTGACGAACTTAAAAATTTGTACTCCTCCCCCAGTGTTATCAGGGTGATTAAGTCGAGAAGAATGAGATGGGCGGGGCATGTAGCGCGCATGGATAGAGCAAAAGGCATGCACCCGTGAGCATTGGAGATTCCAACCAACAGTGATCTACACCAGACATACTCACCAGTAAGGTCAAATGCCCCCCCTGGCCAAAGGAACAATGACATCTGGCATCAGATATAAACATTCCCATCTCGTGCAGTTCCAGTGATTTGTGTCGTAACATTGTGATTTAGTAGTTACCTTCATTTTGTATTTCAGATGGAGTTGGTGCCTGCAGGACTGATTCCAATTCCTCTATCAGCTTGGGGTTCATGACCAGAGGACTGAGAGTAACCGAGTCAAACACAGTCATTCTGGAGTACACAGGTGATACATGAGGAAATGTGTTTTATATTTTTTGTTAGTATTCAACACTCATTATCTTGAAGCAGCATATTGTAACACAACATATAGGTTAAATAATTCTGTATGTAGGCCGTTTTTGTCAATATTTAGCAACACTGCCATGTTATGTTCACTTGCATAATGGCATGATGAGAAGGTTCTCCTTCTGGGTCACAGGTGTAGTTTTACAGCTGGCACTTATTAAACTTCATTCTTACATATTAATATAAGACTTTAAACAAAAAGGGAAATCATGTGGATATTATTTGACTTTCAAAATAAAATTTCCCTTGTGTTTTCTGCAGAATTTCGTATTTGTTAGCAGCACTGTTAACCTCTCAGTATTGGAGTTTACCGTATTTATAGAACGGCACACATGTTTCATATTTTTGCAATTGAAAACTGGGTTAAGCTCCATTTGTGTGAAGATAAATGGTTTAAGGAGAAAAGGGGTTTTAAGAAGGCAGTTTTTTCTAAAATATGATCAAAGTATGGGTTTTTGAATGATTACCAAAATATGAAATTCAGTGACTTTACAATTAATGTTTTTTCACATCTTTCCATTATCTCACCCTAGGGCATGCCCTAAAATTCATGCCCTGCTCTTGAATGTACTGTTGCGCATACTAACGTTTCTGCAGTACAGTCAGTTCTACGAGTTATTTACTGGAATCTTTTGAAAAATTATTACCATTTCAGTGAAACTGTGGTCACTTTGTGGTATAAGCACATCACACAACACTTTGTATGCACGTAGAAGGGAATTTATTTCTGTTCATAAAAAGTTTGGTGATGATAAATTTCCTACTCACAGCTCATTACTGCTGTCACTTCTAGCATTGTCACTTTCACTTTAATGGGTTTCAGCTGGCATTGTTTGTGACTAATGTACTTCTTCAATACTTTTATCATCAGTACTATAGACCCCCCCCCTTCCACCACATTTTCCTGATCTGATATTTCAAGTAAATATAGAATTCGTTGTTTATGTGGAAGACTACCACTCTTAGACAGATCCTACATTGTCCCCGACTGGCTGAGTTAAATAGCACGCTCTATTCATTCATACACCCGGTATGATCATCGGATGTTTGTTTTAGCCCGTGTTTATAAAACAGAACCTCCCTCTCATCTCAGTGTGAACAGCATCTCAAAAGATTTAATAGTTTCTTCAATAGATGTCATATAAGACCAGCCTGTTGTGCGTGCACCATACGTGAGACTCCGAAAGGGAGGCAGACTTCAGGTGTGTGACATATATGGCAATCCACATTGATAGGTTGTTCATATGCAGTGGTTGCATGGTATAAGGCATAGTTTTGACCTTTGAACACGGATTGTTTAAGTCCCATTCAGGGTATAGATGCATGTCAGTATAAGGTGGATTCAGGGGTTGGCAGTGACGTGTAAGAAAGTGATGGATTGAACAGACCAAGAATTTAATTTGTGATTTTGATTATGATTAAATTGAACAGTACCATAAGTTGAATCTAGTGTGTTCCATACAGTTGAAAGTTGTGAAATAACATTTGTTTTATTGTAGCTTGGCTTGCTTCTCATCACGTAGTTGTGTAACTACGAGGGCGTTTCAAAAAGTAACAACAAATTAAATATTTTGAGATATATAATTTAATTAAAGATACAAATGATATGTCATTTTTCTACATAATCACCCTTGTTTTCAATACTCTTCTCACACCGTTGCACCAACTTCTTTATTCCATCAGAAAAAAATGTTTTTGGTTGTGCCTTCAGCCAGGAATGCACCGCTTCTTCGACCTCGTCATCATTCCCAAATCTTCGTCCTCTCAAAGCGTCCTTCAGGGGTCCAACCACATGATAATCAGAGGGAGCAAGGTCAGAGCTGTATGGGGGATGCTGTAAGATCTGAAATCTCAATCTCCGAATGGTGTCGAGAGTCGCGGCAGCCATGTGAGGGCGTGCGTTATCATGGTCATCGTGGATTGATGTTCTCCCATTTTTAAACGCATCTACCCACTCGTACACTCTTCTCTCCCCAATGCAGGCATCTCCATACTGTTGCAGCATTCTTCTATGAACTTCACGAGGTTTCACACCCTCCAACCACAAAAATCTTATGATTGCTCGCTGCTCCTCTACGGTGCAAACAGCTAAGGTCGCCACCATTTTGTATATGCATCCCTTCCAATTAAGCATGCCACGTCGTCTCAAAACCTTCTCCAAGAATGTATCTTTCCTGCGCAGGAGTTTGAAATGCCTGGGGTATTCGTTTCGTGAAATATTGTCAATTTGCTGTTACTTTTTGAAACGCCCTCGTACATTGTAATATGTTGCATGGAAAAATTATTACAAATATATAACTACGTATTGAGGTAACTGGATGTGAGGACATTTGAAGTTTGCATTGCTGAACTAACAGATTGAAGGATTATATCTGCTCTGTCATTATTATATGCTGGTGTTTTTAGCTTACTCAGCCTCTTAAGTGCATGACCGTTTCATTTTGCAGGGGGTTCCTCTTGCCCCAGTGGTGGAATGCATAGCATGCAAATTGAATTCTCGTGCTCGAAGGTGGTTGGAATGCCAGTGTTTGTGAGGGAAACCGCTAAGTGCGTACACCATTTCTCCTGGGAGACCATGGCATCCTGCCCCTCACTGGTAACTTAATGTGTTTGTTGCTCTGAAGAGCAGTGAACTGAATTTGATGAAGTAAAGTCACTTCGAGGACTACACATGGTTTTTCATTTACTTACCATATAAAAAATTGTTTATGTAACCATTACAGAATTTAATAATATAATGATTTCCCATTTTTAAATTTTTTTGGAACATGGCTTTGTACATATCTTTCAGATTTGTTACTCTTTACATGTCCAAGTTTAATGTTTATTTTCTGGAAGATTGTATTATTTGTGTGTAACATAATGAAAATTGTGTTACCTACACACTCTTAGTTAATGTGCTTTGGCAGTACACTCGTTTCCAGAGAAATATCGTTGTTGAACATTTCTTTACATGGAGCTGTGTAGTTTCAAAATTCCAGGTTCTTTTTTCATGTACAGCTGTTTAACAGCTGATGGTGGTGTGTTCCAGCTGGCTGTTGGGGAGAACTGCGTTGTGCAGGAGAAGCAGTATGGGGGTATTTTTAACCTGATGGCACTGCACTCCCCTCATGGGGGCTACAGCTTGACAACAGAGAAGGGAGACAATTACCTTATTAATGTTTGTGGGCCACTCAACAGAACTTGCAGTGGACAGGAAGCAAGTGTGTGTCTCATTACACAGGCCGGCAACATGTTTGCTATAGGTAATTAGGGTACCAACAGCAGTAAGTGTATATGTTTTTCCAGTCACCCACTTAATGGTAGTAATGTTCTTTGTCTTGCAGGCCGAGTCAACAAGACTGTGATATATGATAGTGGTGCACTTCGGTTTGTACTGTATGGCGAGGGTTGCAAACCAGGACGGAATGTCAGCACTGTTATGTTCTTACTCCTATGTAGGCATGGCAGTGATGTGGGACAGCCTGAGTTTTTCTCAAAGGTAATATTAGAGGGAGTCTGTTATTCCTAAGCAGCAGTGAAACAATGTTTGTAACACAAGTTGATGCATTGGTCATGTGCACTTATATTTGGAAGGTATCCAGTTTAATTTGTGGCTGGGTTACTGCCTATCCTGGCAGTGACTGTAACAGATTGGAATTTTTCATTGATTTTTCAAGACAAGGTGAAATGAGATCTTGGTATGGCTATCATGTACAACAGAGTCCTTGAGAAGGTGATAGTCGTGCAGCTGGCCAGGAAATTCCCTGCACTTTATAGAACTCATTCATTATTATGCCTACAAGAGTCCACCACTGGACCCTATCCTGAACCAGATTAATCCAATCCACACACTCGCACTTTCATCGAGGTCCATTTTTAATATTACGCCCCTCTGCACCGGTTCCCCAAGTGGCAGCTTTCCTTCAGGTTTTCTGACTAAAATAGAGTATGAATTTTTCAGTTCTGATACATGCTACATGTCCAATCCATCTCATCCTCCTTGATTTGCTTGTCCCATTTTTTTTTTGGTGATGAGTGAACATTATGAAGCTCATCATCATTATTTTTCAACCTTTTTTCTTTGGTCCAAATATTCTCTTAAGCACTATGTTCAAACACCCTAATTCTTGTCCTCTTCTCTTTGGTTGAGTGATTAGGTTTTACCATACAAAAGAACTGGCAAAATTATAATTCTGTATTTTAAAACTTTACAATAAAATGGGAGACGGGAAGACAAAAAGATTCTGAACTGAATGGTTGCACATGTTCTTTAAATTTTATCTGCTTTTAATTTGTACATGAATTCAGGTCTTGATGCTATATGAGGTTGTGCCAAACATGGGATTGGTGCGGAGCAGCCAATAATTTTAATTTTCCTTTGTGTGTAGGATGAGGATTGAAATTTTTAAATTTATTTTTCTTTGTTTGCAGGATGATGACTGCAATTTTTACTTCGTCTGGAACACGAGAGCTGCGTGTCCACCCCATCAGTTTGTGGACTGTACTCTGATGCATAATGAACAGTTTTATGACCTGAGTCAACTCACGGACTTAATGAGCAACCACGTGGTGGTTAAAAATGGTCTCATGTTCTTGCTCAATGTGTGCCATTCAATTGTGTTTGGGAAAGATGCGTTCTGTCAGTACTCATCTGCCGCCTGTCTGTTCAACCTATCCAACCCAGACCCTACCAGCAGGTGCATACTTTTCATCTAGTATTATCACTGTGATTACATTTTAGGGATTGTGTTGGGCAAGGTATGTAGTTCAGTTGGCTGAAGAAAGAAATTAATGCAAATTTTTGTTATATCCAAATCTCGTGGAATGAAGGGAGCTTGGGTGACAAAGGCCCACGTGAGATAATATTAAATTTTCCGTTTCTGAGATTGAAATGACATCACATAATCTGTCAGAAGTTTGTACTGTTTCCATTGTGAGCAAAAGGTGTACTGAAATCAGTTCCAAACACAAACTCTTACAAGTTAACAGTTCTTTTGCATCAAAATTGTTGCAAGTAAAAATTAGATTGTACCTTACTGTCTACATAGTGCTCGTTATTTTCTGAGATGATGTCAGTATTCTTTATTTTCATTCACAGACCCACAAAAT